CAAACCCCGACAACTTTCGATAACACCCTGAATCGAAGTAGCTGAGGTCAATCGAGGCAGCAATCTGGCTGATCCTATGAAACAAATCCAGATTTCAGTACATTGAAGAACATAACTTCATAGCCAAAAGAGAGACAACCAGATTGTGCAAAAACATTTAAAAAAAAAAACCCAAATTCTCACTAGAATCCAGCTCAAGCGTATGAGTTACGAAAACCCTTTGATTAATCTAAACATTAAAAACAGTAAGAACACAACGATCATGAAAAGGTAAGACATTCATTTGAGACGACCGAGCTCTCGTTGTCATAAACCTCTCGGATTGGGATTCTTCATCAAACCTAACATAGAAAAAACCAGACATCTCAACCACCGATTCAACCTCAGATTAAGCAAAATCACCTACTTTATAAAACAAAAACGTTACGGATTTCCGGAGAAAATGAAAACCCTCGTCGGAAATTATCCCAAGATCGACAGAATCATGCGTCGTACGTAACAGAAAATCAGATAAAAGGACCAGATGGGGGAAACCCCAAATTGAGGAAGAAGCTCTCAGAGACAACCGACATAACAGACAAGACATCAGAATCTGTGACCACGACAGATCTCATGAACTGGACGATCCCAAGCGCGCATAATTTTCATCACAAGAAGAAAATCGAATCTAGAAACTGGAAAGAAAACACACGACGAAAATCAAGCCAATCCCAGATACCGAAACAAACAAAGGCGATAGATTTACACAGAAAGAACATGGACGGGCGTTCTTACGCTTCTTCTGGTGCAATTTCCTATCGACCCAGAGAAAAAGAACTGAGCTTTTGTACTCTGGTCGGCTCCGTTGGTTCAAGAACAGAGACAAAGACAGTCTTTCTGTCGTGTCCAAGTGAAGTTGATGAAGAAGAAGAGAAATTTCAAAAAAAAGAAACTTTCTTTATTTTTCACAAGAGAAGAAAAAAAAAGGGAAATTTCAAGGGCGTATAAGACACTGCAATTCGGATCTTTTCTTCCCTTCAGCTTAAGCTCATAAATTTCTTTTTCGTTGTTTCTCTGTTCCTTTATTCGTGGAATCTGAGAGATTTAATTAATATATATTTAATTAATCGACAGAAAAAAAGAAACCGTCTTGCTTACACGCGTTTAGAATAGATGCGGAGAACATGAAGTCATTATCTCCTACATCGAGCGTACGGACATAGGGAATTCCTGTGCTGACGAATGGCCGTGATTTGACGAAAATAGATCCGACGGATGATATTTGTTTTTTACTTTATAAGATTGCTGACGTAGAATTTAATATTATAATTAAAATAAATATTATATAACAAAGGGGGATTGCTTAGGCATTAGGTCTAATGCTTTTGTAACAGACAAATTTGGAAACGTGATTACGACACTTAACATTGATACTCCTCTCGTGATTTTTGGATTAATTAATCGTAATTATTACCCTAACCTAAAGTTACTCTTTGTTGACGCCTCGTAACATAGCTATTATATGTTAAAAAAAATATATCTAATTTTTGTAGTAATGATTAACCGATTATCAAATTCGAGTTTTCATTTTACATATCCCACATAGACATAACATCAAAAATATTAAAAAAAATTATTAATTTTAGTTTTGACTTCCGACCATATCATGATATATGAGATGCAAAATAACCGCAAATTGAAAGATTTTTTAAAATATTATGTCTTGACTTATATAAACGTTATGTTTGTGGTTGCGGTCAAACACAAACATTCGTCCCAACGTTCCGACATCAACTAGAAGAACAAAGAGTATGTATGTTTAAGGATGTCAAAATGGGTTTATGAAATAATTGTTGGGTTAACTCAAACCAGTTATAATTTTAAACGGGTTGATTAAACTCAATTAACTCATTTAAATTACTTAATTCATGAAGTAAGTTATATCATATATTAGATATGGTTATGTATTAATAATATTCTATAAACTATATCTATTTGACTTTTATATCATATTCGGTTCGAACTCGGTAATTTCAATTTTAGAACATATATTTTCATTTGGTTTTTATATAGAATTTTGTTCAATTCACTTTGTTTTTTTATAAATGATTATGTCTGAATCTATTTCGAATTGGATTCAATTTTTATATAGATTTTCGTTCGAATCAGAGTTATTTTTTTATAATTGATTTCATTCGATCCGAATTCAGGATTCAGTTTTTATATAAGATTCCATTTGATTTTGATTTTGATTCAAATTTTGATTTATGTAGGATTCATTTTTCGACTCGGATTTTGGATTTTTAAAGGATTTCGTTAGATTTGAATTCAGTTTTTATATAGAATTTCGTTCGATTCGACTTTTATTCAAATTTTATTGAATTTAGTTACGGGTTTGGAGAGGTGATGAATAAATAAAATAAAAATTGTGTTATGTGGATGAATGAGTTTATTATTGGTTAATTGTTTTAACTCATTAAACTCATGGATTTAATGGACTATTTGATCATTGAATGATCATATGATCCAAACATTATTATTATTGGGTTAATCCGAATTTGTGCAGAATTTCTATTTATCGGTTGTGTATCATCTCTTTATCTTTCAATATTTTTATCCCTCTATATATTTTACATGCGTGGTTATAATCTTAAAACTCATTCACTAATGTGATTAATTTTTTATGCACATTATTTATATAATATTATACTTTGATTCATTTTGATTATATTTTTAATTAATATTTAAATAAAATGTGATTAATTATTTTGGTTAAACGATGTTTTTTAAGGTAATTAAATTATTATTATAATGGGTTCGAGAAGTGTTTCAACAAATCATAATAATCAAAATAGTTAGTGGTTAGATATTCTATGATAATATACGATATAAGAATCTTTACATTTGTAATGACTTTCATTAGTTGATTGTATTTCTTATTCATTATTTAATATGTATATTTGTTACATAATAGAATCCATGAATTGTTTGGAATAATTCTAAACTCTCTGATCATTCATCATTGTGGTAATAACGATGAATTAAGACTACCATGAGATATAATGATGATCATGGAAATAGTCATATGTATTAGATACGGATCACGATCATGGATACTCTTTTGGAACAAAGAATTGGATTACCCGTATAAGATTATCAAATAGACATGAGATAGGACTTAAATAGTATGTAATGATTCTTTTGATCATAACGTTTGAGATAATTATGGAATCTGATATAAGGAGTAACGTGTTTTGATTACGTCAAACGTCATCTTTAACCGGATGATTATAACGACATTGTTTATGTACGTTACGAGTCATATAAAGGATTACATATAGTCAAGACGAGATTTTTTCCTCTCGAAACGAGAAAGATATTGTTAGGCCCTTCGAGTGGGTAGGACTGTGAAAATGTATGCTCGTAATATAGATTATAGTTAGTTACCACATAAACATATACTAAAGTGAGTCGGACGTTTTGGAGAAACACTCGGTCGAGCGTTGTGATTTTTTGGCAACTGTCAAGCCAAGTGTTGGATGCTCGGACGAGCATTTGTTAGAGCATAACACTCGATCGAACACTAGGTCGAGAGATCTAAACGCAACATTCGATCGAAGGTTATAAAACGCTCGAGCGAGCATTCGTTTGGAACACTTTAAAAATAAGGTTTTTCGAGAAAGTCAAGAGAGATTATTTTCTAGACTAAAAGACACAATAGTAACATCAGGAAAAAAAATCGACCTAAGTTTTCCAAAATCCTTACACACAAGAGAGAAACAAATTTTTGAGGTTCTAACAGACCATATCTAATCATATTGGATCCAACATGTCGTGTGGACTTCTGTAGAGGACGTTGACCTTTTTATCACCTCAAGTGGGTTAATTGATTATTGAAAAATAGGCCCCGGATCAACTACAAGTTAGTATCTCTATCTTAAAAATGATTTCATGCACAAACCATTCCTTAGGATTTAGAAAATTTCAATTTTTACTTTCCTACATAAATCCTAAACTATCTCTTCATGAATTATGAATCACATGAATGAGATGTCGGAAACCCAACAATAGTTTTCTATGTTAATTTTGTAATAAAGTTAATAATGAAGGATTTTATCGGTTGAAGCTACATTTGGTTGAAGAATTTAAGAATGTGATCAAATATCCTCGTTGCTCCAAAACATGTAAAAATAGAAATATCATATTTTATAAAGAAAAAATATCTTAAAAGATTGAAAGTCAATATTATCTCATGAATCTCAATTGATTAATGGTTTAGATAAAGACAGAAGAATGTTTCACTCTTAAAAAAAAGAATGAATGATCAAACAGATATATTTGTCACTTTTAAAGTTAATCCAAAAAAGATAAGAATGAAATCTAATAAATCATTGACAAGTAGGTGAAAGAGAAAATTTACAGGTTAATAATAAGATTTTTTATGATACAAGAATTTTATTAAATGCAGCTATTTACCCAAGTTTTAGAGAAATGTGCAAAAATATAGGACAATGCGATGCAAGGTTAGAACCACCGAGTATGCATGAATTAAAAAGTTTCACTCTACAAAAAAATATATTAAACGACACAGAAATATATTTAATTGAGTATAAGGAGTGGATACAAAAAAGTTACTAGATTATATCGTATGGATGACATATTGGGATGATAGAAAAAATATAATTTCGAAGAGAAAAAAAACAATGAACACACATATACGAACACAAAGTTATGGAAAGTTTTGAGACACAGGTTAAACGTTTTACAAAGAATATATTTACACCTACACAAAGTTGTTGGGTTAAGGTAAAATATTTTCGGAATACAAAAAAACTTATGTTTCTTCCTAGAGAAGCAAAAATCGAGAAAAAACCTCTACTCTCACTAAAAAAATGTTTAGAATAACTTTAGTATCTTTTTTCTTTGGAATAGATAAATGATTGAATCTTAATTATATAAACTCACCAAATGATGAGTTTATCTAGGCATGATTTTCTTAAGTTATTTGTGTGAATTAAACAATTCATTAATTGAATAAAACATTTTTTTTGGGTAATCGAGTGTCCTAAACTAAGGTCCAAACTAATCTCAAGTGCAGAGATCAGCCATATGATTTAGAATGTATACACCCTTCCTAAATTTAAGATTCTTGAACTACCCAAGTTTCGGTTAATTGAATAAAATGTTACGTAAACACGTATACTTTCTTTTCACATAAAAAAGAATTCATTCAATTAATTGAAAAACAATTTTCATACATTAACAAATGAATTTGCAATCTATTTTTTTTCAACATGACATAATTCGATTACTAGTAAAGATAATTTAAATTTTTTTATCAATTCTACAAAGAGTTCAATTTTCTATAGACCGATGGATATCTAAAAAAATTGTGAAAGATGACAATTTATTATATCACTTGCTTGAAAAAATAGTAGAGAAAAAGGGAGAGAAAAATGTGATCCAAGTGGTGATGTTAAATACTTCTAATTATGTTAAAACGGGTAATAAATATTTTTATTTTTTGTATATGTGGTTATGAATAAAAAAAGTTTTTTGTGTAACACATTGTATAAATATTATATCGGAAGATATTAGAAATATTATAAAGGTAAAAGATATACTAAGCATATGTATATTCATGAATAACCATATATATAGTCATGACTCTCTTGTAGACATGACGACATAATTTATAAGTCAAAGAAACTAACATAGGTTTACGATCACTGAAACACTTGTGCGGGATATACAAAATGATACTCTAAGAAATATGATGACTTGGTAAGAATGAAATGAATCCAATTGGGCAATAGAAAAATGATGACAACATTTCTTTTGTAACATACATTTTGGGAGAATGTGTCGTGTGCTTTTGAATTGACATCACATCTTGTTAAAGTTTTTAGAATTATTGATGGATAAAAAAATCCAATAAATTATATTTATGTAGCTACGAATAGAACTAAAGAGATTATTGTTACAAATGTTAGATGAAAGAAGAGAAATATGATATAGCTTTCAAGTATATTAATAGATTAGGCCTTTGAAAAATGTAATTAGACCGAAGTCACGGTGAAATTTCGAATTATAAAAAAAATTATAGATAGAAAATGAGAAAGTAAACTTGATTGACTTTTGAATGCAACCGATTATTTTCTCAACTTAAGTCTTTATTATGATAATTCCGGAATCAAATTGCGAAGAAGTTATAAATGTTGTTTGTCAATGTATTTCTAAATCCATGAAAAATCAAATAATAAAAAATATAGATGTATATAGTTCTAAAATGATTTATTTGGTATACTAGATGACCATTAGGCTAAAGAATACACAATCTCCATATATCAAATTTTAAAAGATAAGTTATATATTGTAATAATTGTATTATTCTTTAGATATGGAAAATCAAATAATAAAAGAATTATACAAATCTACAAATGATTTATTTAGTATATTGTGGTCATTAAACTAAGGAATATACAATCTTCATAAAACACGATGGATCCAGGGGGAGAGGCACCACAGGATGTCAATTTCAGGTTTCGGTTCAAGTTCAATTTGGTTATTTCAGTTTTAAAAAAACTATAACACGTCGGTTTTTCTATTGATTTTGATTTGCATTCAATTCGGTTTCGGTTTTTATCGATCAAAATTTTGATTTTTCAAATAATTTTTTTATTTTATTTTTTTGTTTACTTAGTTAGATTCAGATTCAGTTTCTTCGATTATAGCACTCGGTTTTATATTAGATTTGATTTGATTATAGTTATATATTACGGAGTTTGGGTCTAGGCGGAATGGCAGACCGGTTAAGAACAATCGCTTTTGGTTTGTTCCCCAATCACTTCGACATTTTTTTTACGCATATTAACCGGATAACAATAACGTCACCATCTATCCCATACGATCCAAATCGGACAAATAACCAGATTCAGAGCATTGCGAACCGTTGGATTTATGATATATATTATCTGGACCGTTCATTTTGGATGAAATCTTCACTTTGCCGAATCAAGGGCCAACAAAACTCAACCGTAGATATCTGTGTCGATACTAACACGTTAGTCATAAAGCATTCTGTACTTTATTCACATTTTATATGCATATAGGTGATTAATTTAATTAATATAGTGAAATGAGACCTTGGATTGCTCCGTTTATGTCTTTTCGTCACTAATAATTTAATTAATATAGTGAAACGCTCTAAATACTAATAATTTAACGAGAATTTGTTGGAGTTGTGTTTGAATAAAAACTCTGTTTACAATTGGAAATTTTAAATCGAAATTATAAGAATCTATAAAAAAATAAATTTGTTTGTGATTATTCTAATCCAATATATAGATATTTGATATTTGTAGTTGTGCTGTTTTGGATCAAACGCAAAAATTTTAAATAAATTAATCTTATATAATTGGTTTCAAATTTGAATTTTTTAAGGAAAAATTGAGATATTCGTATACTCAATTTGAAAAATGAAAAGGGTTTTAATTTTGAAAGTTATTATGAAAGAAGATGACAGATTGTTGATTTATTAGGAAAGAACATGATAATATTCTATCATTGAAAATAGAGTAATTTAAAAGATATTTTGGACAGAATATTGTTTTTCTTAATATATGTGTTTAAAATGTAAAGCCATCTGAATTAAAACGAGTAAAAACCAATAATAAAAGCTAATAATTGTGTTTTCAGAAATTTTGTCCCAAAAATTAGAATAATAATGAAATTAATGGGAAGCAAATATAGAAATAATAATCCAAATTTGGCCTATAGTCATCAATGTAAACTTATTCATAAGTATATTCCTTACGTTGAAAGAGCAGTTTAAGGGCATAAGCATTAACATTTCTCTTTTTTTAATTGAAAAAACTCATTTTTAAATGGTTCTTTAAGACACATTTCATAAACTACCATATTCAAATAAAATGCCTCACAATATATATTTAAATTGACGTGAAAGTGTGAGAGAATGTGTGTATATATGTAACCTTGAACAAGTTGACGCAATCCTTAGGGTTTGAACTAGGGACAGTTTAATCGGATTTCGGATTCGGTTATTTTGGTTTTAGAACGATTATAACCATTCGGTTTTTGCATTAAATTTGGTTTGGTTGGGTTATATTTGGTTCGGGTAAGGTTCGGTTATGATAAAAACATTCATTTTCTTAAAAAAAATTTACGGTTTTTTCGGTTATTTTTTTATTCGGTACGGTTCAGGTTAGAGTTTGGTTTTTTCGGTTTTAAAGAAATCATAACCATTCAGTTTTATATATAATTCGATTCAGTTATGGTTATGCGTTATTCGGTTCGGATCAGTTCGGTTATTCGGTTATTAACCAAATAAGTCAGCCCTAGTTTGAACTTTATATTTGATTAATTAGAAAAGGTAGTATTACTATTCAATTTGTGAGAAAATATTAAAATCGATAGGCTTCACATGATATATGTGATAAATCAAAACATTTTAAAATAATAAAATAAAAATTACATTTATTTATAATTTTATAAATAAATGATAAATATTCATATACATAGGATTTTAAAAATTATAAATATATTTGTTAGGTATGGTTTCTTCTTATATATACATTTTAGTTATAAAGGATACAAATTCCAAGAGCTTACAACTTACCAAAATACGTAAAATATAATACTCCCTCCGTTTAATTTTATATGACGTTTTGGAATAAATTTTTTGTTTTAAAATAAATTATGTTTTTATATATTTAACGTACTTTTAAATATCTTTTTTAAAATTTACCCTTTATTAATAATGCTCAAATATTCTATATGTATAATAATTCTACACATTTTTCTATTTTTATACTTTAATAATTATTCAACAATTGACTATATTTACCTTTTTTTTATCTTATTTAACTCCTCATAAACTACATTAAAAAAAATAAACTCAAATAACTTTATATTTTTATCAAATTTATCATTTATCATTATTCAAAATCCAAACAAAATATCAAGATGGAAATGAGAAAGAAGAACAAAGTTTTATGAAGAAGATAAAGATACAGAATAATTTTAATTTTGAAAATTTTATCGATTCTAAAATAACAAATGGATGAATGTTTATATATCTAGAATATATATATATATATAATATACATGTTCTTTTATCGAACGGTTCAATAGAAACAACACATATTTAACATTTGGTATTTTACCGTTAACAAATATAACACATATAAAATTCGTATTCTTTAAGAATTTTCTTGTAATATTAGTTTATTTTATCCAGAAGTGAATTTAAAATATGATTAACTTATCTGTAAGCAAAGATTTAGAGGATGCAGTCAGATTAATTAATTCCCTTGAAGATTAGTCAATTTTTTATTTAAATAATAGAAGTTTGACTTTTGACCTTTGTAATAGACAAAGGGACTCGCCTTTTTCTTTCGTGCAATCCGAGGGGCAAGGAGGAAAATATGTAAACAAAAGAAGGGTATTTCTGTACATTAGGGAAGTTTTTTTATAAGGAAGAGAGAATATTAAAGAATATATGAGAGTAGGTTTCGCAATTTGGAAACGTTTTGAAGATAATAAGAAAAAAGGCAAAAACATTGGAAAATGAAACCGAAAAATCTGTAGATGAGCAACGAAATCTTTTTGTTTCCTCCTCCGAAGGTAGAGACTTTAATAGATTGAAGAAAAGGAATCTCCTTTGAACCAGTCTCTTCTCTTCTTTCTCCATTGAAGAGGAGAAGAACCCTGTTCTCTCTCCCTCCCTCCATGCGAGCAAAAGATCTGATTATTTTTAATTTTAATTTCTGATTTTTCTCAAGCCCCAAAACCCAGGGATTTCCGGGAAGAATCTGATTGCCTGGCGTTTCCCTCTATTCTCGTTTCTTTTCCTGGTAAATTCAGCGGATTTTTTTCCCGTTAATGCCGATTTTTTTCCCGTTTGTGCCCATTTCCTTCATGCCCATTTTTTTCTTTCTGAAACGTAAATATTTCCTGTGATTCCGTTCTTCCCTCTGAATTGGGTATCTGATTGTGGGTTGATGTAAAGGATCGGTTTTTACCTTCGACGAGGTTTGTAACCAGTCGTTGTTGTCTGAGATTCTCATGGTGTTTCTGTTCTTTTGGTGATCAAATGAAGCTTCTTCTTCTTCTTCTTCTTCTTCCTTTGTTTTTCATTTTCCCCCAATTCTCCGACAACCCTTTCCGGCCGTCTCTCTCTTCTTCTCGATATCTTACGTTTCACGATTGATTTGTTCTCGATTTCAATCAATTTGTCAAAAACTGGATAATGTTACAGTTCATGTTGTGACCTGTGGTGTTTGTTTATGGCCTCGTTGTTCTTTTCTCGTGGTGCAGGAACAAAAAATGGTTTCTCGGATTATACTGTGTGATGGGTTCGAAGTGGTTTCACCGCCGGAACTCAACGAGCTGTTACTGTTCGAGAACGACCAATCCGGTTCGAACGCCGATGAATCGACGGTAACCACTGAAGACTACGACGCTGTGTTCTCCGGTGACAGTCCTCCGTCTGACGCGGCCGAGGAATGGCCATTGCCGAAGGTGATCCGGTCGTTTTACGTTGTCAAACAACATCCTTGCAATAACCCTTTGATCAGAGCTAAGCTCGATGAGGCTGACAAGGAGATTTATCAGTGCAACGTTGCTCGCATTCAGATCTCCGATGCCCTTAAAGCCAAAAGGGTAAAATCGAGGTTTTTTGTTGTTGATAAACCCGTTGTTGTTCATAAAAATGTGTTGATAGAGGCGATTGCTTCGAAGGGTTAAAGCTGATGGGGATTGGCCTTTTCCGTGTAGGCTGAGAGATCTGCTTTGTTAGCTCAGATGGAGTGTTTAAATTCCGAACTTGATGGATATGATGCAATGTTTGACGAGAAAAAGAGAGAAATGGAATCTTTGCGAGAAGGTCTTGGGAAGCTCCGGGGCGAGAAGGAACTTGATGATCTCGTATGATTTGATCCCAGCCGTTTCGAGTGTTTTGATTGATAAAAGCAATCTCGGCTCTTTCATGAATATATATGCCCCAATTACTGAAGAGTGATCTGGTGGATGCAGATGAACAGCATCAATTACGGGATTGAATACGAGAACAACACTCCGACGGAGGAGAAGCAAATTCTCAAGAAGATCAAGCAGCCTGAGTGGGAAATGCAAATTCAGGATCCTCAAGGGCAAAATGGAGGCATCATAAATCGTATTAAGGTAAGCTGCCAGCTCGAACTTGATGTCTTAAAAGCTGTTGGACCGATGTATATACGCACGAGGCAAGAGAACTCGTTGTCATTACTCTTTCGAATGTTGGGCATGACCTCCGTAAGTTCATCTAATGGGGTTTACTTCAAATTTTTTCCGCCCTCTTATCAGTCAATGGCCATGAATATGGATGAAGTGAAGAAGGACCAACAAGCAGTTACAGCAAAGATCAACCGCTTGAGTGAAAAACTGCAAAGGATTAAGATGGAGACCGAGTCATTGGATGCGGAGCTGGCAGGCGTACTTGACAAGAGGGACAAAGCCTTTGAAAGAATCAAGATGCTCAGAAGGCAGCGAGACCTCAGGGTGTGTTGCGTCATGTCTCTGTCTGCAAAATCTTTTTTTGTTTCTATGTCTGATTGGATATAAATCTCTTCATAATCCTATACTGCTTTTTGTTCTGTAGAATGCCACATTTTTGCAGAGTCGGTTTATCATGATGAGAGCCGGAGAATTGGCTGCCGCCGGAAATGTAAAAGGCCTTAAAGAGCTTGCCAATGCTGAGGTTGGGTTTCTCTTTCTTGACCTGGAAATGATCACACGTCTCTGAGATTTGCCGATTTGTTTTGTGTTCTTACTTTTGGGTCTGTCTTTAATAGGTTGAGAAGTTTATGTCTCTCTGGAACACTGACAAGGCTTTTCGGGATGATTACAAGGAAAGAGTCTCAGCTTCACTTGATGAAAGACATCTGAACCAAGATGGGCGGATCAAGAATCTCGAGCAGGACCTTCTGGTTGCCCTGGAATCGCTGAGACCTCTTGATATCAGAACCGACGGCGTGGAAAAAGTTCATGAAAAATGGGGAACAGAAGATTCAAGATCTTGCTCTTCCCAGGTTGGCAATATAGCTACAGAGCAGACCAAGAAAGAGGAAAAAATGGTGACCGATTCTAACAAGTCTGGTTCAGAGGAGAGTGACTGCATGGATTTTGATATCCTGAGTTATCAGATGCCACAAATGGAAGAAAAGATGGATGAAGAAACTTTGAAGGAGAAGAAACGGGAAGAGCAGCTGGAGAAAGCCCGGCAAGCGATGGAAAGGAAGAGGAAGCTGCAAGAGAAAACTGCTGCTAAGGCCGCTATAAGAGCTCAGAAGGAGGCCGAGAAGAAAAACAAGGTAATAGTTCATCTCCTTTGTAATAGAGCTTTGCTTAGTTAGGTCATCTTCCATTCTCTCTGTTACAGGATCGCGAGAAGAAAGCAAAGAAGAAGGCGGCTGCAAATTCTTGTCCTTTGCAACGAGGTGAGATCCCTGAGTCAGTCACTGAGGCTTCTGAGCCGGAAAAGGTCGAGTCTTCAGCTTTAGTGAAGAAGCGGTCTCTGCTTCCGAAGCAGAGAAGTTTCAGGTACAGACACCGTGGAAGAGGAACCGAGGCACTTCCAAAAGCCATTCTAAAGCGAAGAAAGGCTTACAAATTCTGGGTTTGGACAGTTTCCTCAGTTGCATTCTCCCTTGCACTCTTCATCTTTGCCTTCTGTTATGTTAGATGAGAGGAAACAGGAGAGGGTTTTCTTTAGGGTTTTTTCGACTGATCCAATAAGCTGCACCTGCAGTCAAGTTAGCTTTAGTTTCATCTGATAAGTTCCTGAGTTAGCTTTAGTTCCAACTCAAGAGTTACAACATATAATGTAATGTACTGCTTCAGAGATATGAAGTCCAATTGTGTCTGAAATGTAAAATACAATAATAAAAATAATAATAATCTGTTTACATGTATGTGAGGTGCTCTTGCAGATGAATCCAAAACATCTCTTGCAATTGAGAGGCTTTAAGTAAACAACACCATAGATAAGCTCCAACTCGTACTTTCAGTTATATAGATTCTTTTGGACAAGAAGCCATTGAACTCAGATTTCTGCGTTTACTTGCAGTTATGCTCAAGTGTACGTACTGTGTGAATAAAGAGAGAGTGTTAACGTCACCAAGTTTTGTCATTTTCTTCGTGCTTTCACCAATGGCTTCATACAGAACCATATCGTCTTTACAGAACCATGAACTTCATCGAAACGTTTCGCCAAGGCTCTGTCCTTTTCGCTCTCGAGCTACCCGTCTTTTCTCTGAAAGAATTCTACATTTTTTGTTACTCTAACAAGCTTCTACTGTGATGGAAACAATGTCACCTTCCTCGGCCAAGGCAAGACCAAAAGTCATAACATCGTAAAACTTATTCAGAATCTTCTAAATACCGAGTTGAAGCTTCCTTCGTCTCAGTTAATCCCATATGTCTGATTTCGATCTGCATTGACAGGAAATCCCATCTTGATCATACCAATGATCACAACAAGGCAATGTCTTGGTGTTCTCTGGAACAATCTTTCACCTTTTAGCTTCCTGTTGCGGCCAAGGAGGAGCTTGTCTTTCAGACAGAGCAATCTGGGACGGAATCAGGATGCAACCTCTGTAAAATGGAAGAAGACAGTATCTATGTAATGATCGTCTCCGATTCCTGGAAAGTCTCTGGCACCGAGAAAATTAGCAAACCCAGATATAAAATCCCAGAAATCTTTCGAGAAATCAAGTCAAATTAACAACCAGTTGAATAAGCGAGAATGGTTTCTGAAAATAATTCCTTAATTCATATTCCTGCTATTCACATGTATTTATACAACATTTCTAAGCTAACAAATCGCTAATAAACTCTGAAAATACAAAAGGCATGGCTATCCTAGTTAGCAATTTACAAAAGAATAAACCAATGTTGCGAAAACTATAAACCGAACCAGCATCTCCATCTGGTACGATATGTGGAGATTCCTCTGTATGAAACAGAGTATTCGAAGACGTAAAACAGAGGGAGCATATAACGGGAATGAAGAATTCTGTCTGATACTCCCCCTCAAGATGGGGAATGGAGATTAGCGATGCCCATCTTGGATAGGAGGTTTCGAAGGTGATCCCCTGCCAAAGGCTTTGTAAAAATGTTAGCAATTTGTCTCCGGGAATCAACATGTAATGGCTTCAAGAATCCGGACTTGAGATGTTCTCGGACAAAATGGCAATCTATCTCAATATGTTTGGTGCGCTCATGGTATACTGGATTATTGGCGATATGAATAGCAGATTTGCTATCGCAAAACAGAGTAACAGGTTCTTGAAAATCAACACCAAGCTCCCGAAGCAAACCAGAAACCCAAATGAGCTCTGAAGTAGCCTGCGCCATTGCTCTATACTCAGACTCAACACTACTCCGTGAAACAGTTTTCTGCTTCTTAGATTTCCAAGTGATGAGCGAATCGCCTAAGAAAGTGCAGAAACCCGAAACAGAACGCCTTGTATCAGCACAAGCAGCCCAATCAGCGTCAGTGTAGCCACTCAGCCGTATTGTCGTATCAGATCGATATAGAAGACCCTGAGCAGGAGCTGATTTAATGTATCGTAACAATCGGAAACCAGCCTCCAGATGAGCAGTTCTGGGATCAGACATGAATTGGCTAAGACGCTGAACTGTGAATGAAATATCAGGGCGAGTTACTGATAAGTAGATGAGCTTCCCAACCAATTTCCTGTACAATGTCGGATTAGATAAAGGTTCTCCTGAATCAGACTGAATCTTTTCTTTGGTATCCATGGGAGAAGCTCGAGGTTTACATGCCAACATACCAAATTCTTCAAGCAACTCAAGGGCATACTTCCTCTGACATATATGGATTCCTTTGCTTGAACGGGCAATTTCTAAACCCAGAAAGTATTTAAGGGACCCTAAATCTTTTAGGAGAAACTGAGAGCATAGGTGTTTCTTGACAGCATCAATCATCCCAACATCGTTTCCAGCAATCAGTAGATCATCGACATAAACAAGTACAGCAACGAATCCAGAACCATGATGTCAGAAGAACAAAGAATTGTCCGCATGAGCCTGGGAAAAACCAGCAGAGATCAATACTTGAGAGAGCTTAATATTCCATTGGCGAGAGGCTTGCTTAAGCCCATAAATTGACTTCTTCAACCTACAGACAGAATCAGCTGCCACTGTCTCCCCCTTGAGCTCACACTACAAAAAAACCTGCATATAGCGACGGAATTTGCGACGGAAATTTCCGTCGCACCAAAAATTGCGACGGAATGTGACGATTTTACGACAGAATGTGGAAAAAAATTATCCGTCGCAAACAATCGCAAAATCCGTCGCAATTTGCTACGGTTTGCGACAGATAATTCTGTCACACCAAAAAAATAGATTATTTGCGACGGAAAATAAAAATTGCGACGGATTGCGACGGAATTTTCCGTCGCAATGTATTTGGTTTCGTTTTTCGACGAAATTTTTTGAATTTTGGGCGCGTAAATTAATTTTATTTTGTAACGGATTGCGACGGAAAATTCCGTCG